TGAAGCAATAGGGTGTGATTAATATGGTGGCTTACCAGCTCCTGTCGGAAGCTCTTGTCCTGTAATTGGACATTCAAATGACGAAATTCGGCCGCAGACCGTAAGTGGTGGTCGAGTGGGTTCCTCGGCAGCTGAGAAGCTACCGGTCCCGAGGTTTTAGCATGCTGTTGAATCATTGATTCTAACAGCCGCTGACGGCCGAGTAATTTGCGAACAGTCCCCACCAGAATGTCTAGTTTCATTGACTGTTCGCGCATGTGTTTGCACATGAGCAGCAGGATATCTTCCTGCGCATTGGCTTTCGGCACTGGTTAACGTGTCGTCACCGAGGGGGATGGTGTCGAATGAATCATTGGCGTCCTAGCTAGGCCCACCAAAAGGAACTATTTTGAAGATTTGTAAGTAGGGAAAAAGTTTATTTGATAAAAAATAATATAAAATTGGTTTAATACATAGGTGAGTCATTTCTGACTGATAATGGGTCATTCGTGGAGCAACTGGTATTGTTTTCTAGAGGGTAGGAATTATATTAAAAAAATGAAATGTATTCACCAGTCCAGCTCTTGTTCCCGCTTTCTTTATGCTGCCGCTGCACATAATTATCGAGCGACGTTTTGAGTCTTTTGGTAAAGGCACTCTCAAGGTCGGATAGAGTGACAGCGGAATTTTTGTTCCAACTCGCGAAGACGTCTAAGAATGTAGATAGAGGACGTTTAATTGCAAACATACCTAGAACCACCTTGTAAACTGCAGAAGTGGATAGACTTTCTTTAAACTTTCTGCCCTTGAAGTTGACGTGTAGGGCTATTTCATCCTCAAATAGCGCAAAGAATATGCGCTTAACAAAGTCATCCAGGCTATTACCGCCTAGACAGGTGAGGAAGGACACCTAATTTTTTGTGTAGATAATAAACGGACAGCCTACAAGTTGGTTTCTTATTGCATTGTCCTCCATTAGTGCATTCAGGTGGCGGAAGTCCGCTCCCGTCCGCATAGGCTGCTTTATGGGGTTTTGGGGCAGCGGTGCAGCCGCCGGCGCTGGTGGCCTTTGAAGCACCTTTGCCTCTAACTCCCGCAAACGGCCGTGCAAGCGGCGGTTACTGTCAAGGATCAGGTCCATCTTTTTGGACAGCCTTGCACTGTGCTGAATGAGTAGGGCCAAGGCCCTTTCCAAATTTGCCATTCTGTCATTAGGCACTGGTTCCTGCCACTCTGTGAGATAGGTCAATAGAAAGAATTTTTATTACCCTCGACCCGCATTTGCTCCCTTGAGGGAAGGGTGTCATCGGAGTCGTCCATCTCAATATGGCTCTCGTTTAGTTCCTAGAAATCAGAACTGCGTAAAGTCATAAGACTTACAGGCGATGATATGCCTTCTCCATTAAAGTAGTAGAGGGCCTCCTCCAGTGCCGATATCGACAAGTTCCGTACCCTAGTAGCGAGCGTATATCGCCTCGATAGTGGGTAGATTGCGTATTTTCGATATACATATATCGAGTGGATGGCGTTTTGTCCGGCGAATGTATGTCGACCCTAGTAACAATTCCATAGCGTGGTGACGGCGCCTCTCTGTGGAAAAGTCGCGATACAATGACCGATTTATAGTGGATTTTGTCCATGTGGTCGCTATGGAAGCAATGGCGAAAAGTCGCGATACGGCGCTATGCAGCTGCGGGACGCCCTTCCTTAGCGACCTCTTCTTCGCACTTCCCATCCTATTTATTAATAAACGAACTACGTAGTTCGGAATGGCAGCTACGGTCCCTAGTAGCAAGAGTATATCGCCTCGATAGCGGGTAGATAGCGTTTTTTCGATATACTCGAAAAACGACGGTAGCGGCACGGATTGCAGTTTACACGACCCCATTTCCCACGGAAACACCTCCGTTTTATACTAAATAGACCTATATTGATTCTATCTACCCTTCCCCTCCTCCTAAATCATGTACCGTAGTCTTAGTTACGAGGACAAGCGTATAAAATAGCGCCAAGTACCCTCCACGATCGAAAGTCGTATGAATTGGTAGAAGTATATTTAAAAAAATAAATATGTACATTATTATTTCTCCTTTAATTGCTCTGTATTAGGGCTATCCGTCATTGAACTTGTGCAGCTGCCCGTTGAAGATCCCGGTGTTAGATCTACATTAAAGAGTAGTGTATAATTGGTAATTGAGGAACACTTACCGCTGGCCTGGGTGTCGTTTATATTCTTTTGCATCTTTTTTGAAAGACTGTCTAGTGACCTTTTAAGCCGTTTTGTAACGGACACCGAGATCGGCAAGTGTTGCCTTACCGTCTCCATTCCAAATGCCAAAGACCTCTGTGGATAGAACAGTGATCAAAAATTAGTGAGAACGTACTCTTGATGACTCCGTAGGTTGGCGAATCAGATAGCCCCTCCTTCATTTTCCGCCGTTTGAAGTTTATGTGGAGACTGATGTCATCCACGAATAGGGCATAATACACTCTCTTTGTGAAGTCGTCCAGTGAACGGCCGCCAAGGCAGGCCAGATAGGAAACCTAATAAACGTAATAATGCAATTTGCCTGTCTTTACCAATTGACTGCGAACTTCACTGTCCGCAAGTCTCGCGTTTAGTGCACGGAAATCCGCCACTGTTCTTAAAGGGCTGCCTATGGGATTAATGGGAAGCCTAGAGGCAACCGTGGTATTGGTAGTCGGCCGTCGGGAAACAGCTGACTCCAAGTCCCGTTGACCGCCCACCAGACGGCGGATACCTTCCAAGATTAAATCCTGGTTTCGTGCCAAATGTTGGCACATTACTTCAACTGTGTGCTCAAGGTCCGCCATTCGATCATTAAGTGAAGGTTCACGCCGGACTACGGATAATGTATAGGTTGCATTAGATCTTACCTTCGGTTATGGTGTCCTCTGCGAGAGGAAGTGTGTCGAAGGAGTTGTCTCCATCACCACTGGGCTCAAGAGGTTCCTAAATGCTTTATATCAAATTTATTGTTTCTTACTGGCAATGATAGGCCTTCACCGCTTAAGTAATCGAGAGCCCTGGTGATAGCTGGGCGTCGAGAGCGTTGCGAAAGTCTTCTCTCTGGTAGTCCACTCATGCTTATCTCTACAAACGCACAGGAAAAATAACGTTACATGTTGCATTACGTAATTGACCGCATAATAGCTAACAACCACTTCCTCCCGGCAATGCTCGTAAACCACTGACTAAGGTCGCTGCGCGTTTGTAGGGTTTACGAGCACTGTTCGCGAACGCGAAGGGACAGTAAGCGGTCTTCTAAGACACGTCATAGATCTATGACGTGTCTATTATTTCAATTAGAATAAAACTTGTCTCCTGTTCAAGGCATACGTACTTTGTAAAAGTCTTCGGTAAAGGAGCACACTGGAGAGTTGTATCCATGCTCGCCTTATACACTTTTAAAAGCGATGACCGCCTAGGGTAGTCGAAGTAATCATTTATGTTTGCAAATTCACAAAAAAACTATGCTCAAACAACCCATTTCATCCGACAGTATGTTCTTCACACATACTATCTTTTCGCCTACACCAATACATCTATTCGAGGGCGAGGTGTCAATGCGAAAACTTTCAGTGATAGCGCACTCATGTTGAGTGTATCTTTCATAACCAGCTGGTAGTGGTCCTAGGTTATGCCCACGTAAGAGTCTCGGTGAATAAGCCTTAACTGGACCGCTAGTAGCTACCTCAATCTCGCTAAGACGTCTAGCTATCTGCTGAAGAGGTCGCGAAGGGCTCCTCAGCAATTTCTTTAATTTGCCGAGATAACTTTCAAAAGGAAATGTAGAAAAAGAATCAAGTGGACCATGTGCCTCCACTTCGTCTGCAATATGTATAAGACTGTGCACATTATAGACAGCATGCTCCTCTCCGTATAAGGCAGTGAATTTTCTGGTAAAAAGTTTGAGCAACCGCTTACAGTAACCTATGTTGTCTTTACATGTGCTCGGACAGGCAAGTAATCGCAAAGCAGTAAACTGCGGAATTACAGAGACTGTCTTTCAACTTTCGACCCTTGAAGTTAACGTGCAGGGCGATTTCATCCTCAAATAGCGCAAAGAAAATGCGCTTAACAAAGTCACCTAGGTTATTGCCGCCTAGACAGCTGAGGAAGGACACCTTATGCTTTGTATAGGGAATAAACGGACAGCCTACAAGTTGATTTCTAATTCCATTATCTTCCAATAGTGCATTCAGGTGGCGGAAGTCCGCTCCCGTTCGCATAGGCCGTTTGATAGGGTTTTGTGGCAGCGGTGTAGCTGCCGGCGCTGGTGGCCTTTGATTCACCTTTGCCTCTATTTCCCGCAGTCGGCCGTGCAAGAGACGGTTACTGTCAAGGATGAGGTTCATCTTTTTTGACAGTCTTGCAGTGTGTTGAATGAGCAGGGCTACGGCCCTGTCCAAATTTGCAAGCCTGTCATTCGGCACTAGTTCGTGCCACTCTGTGAGATAGGTCAATAGAAAGAAGTTTTATTACCCTCGACCCGTGTCCTCCATGTCATTTTGGCTCTCGTTTATTTCCTAGGAATCAGAACTGCGTAGTCATATGACTTACAGGCGATTTGTACATCACTTACTACCACTGGTGTGGATATATCCTCTCTCTCTCTCTCTCGTGATCTGACATATCAATGACTGGCGCTCATGTATCCGGCGAGGGGTTATATAACTCCTCGCATGATGTCATATGACATCTGCGGCTTTTATTGAGAGACTCTTCAATTTCCCTAAAAACTCCCTCCCCATACTTCTTAATCCGGCGTCTAATGGTCCTGTCAGATACGTCACTAAACATTGTTAGAAAAGGGGTGAAACGACAGAGGTATAAATGGAAAATACCAAAAGCCCTAGTAGCAAACTATATCGAGTAGATATCTATTTATCGAGATTCATATATCTACTGGATATCAATTTTGTCGCAAAAATAGATATCTATTAGATATCGATTAATCGAGATACTACCCTATCGGCGAAAAGGGGGGGGTAATATGCTACGCGTGGAATCGTTTGCTTATCCCAATTCCCTTTTCCGCCCCCCTCCATTCCTTGTTGTATGTATATTACCCCCATATTACCCATAGGTACACTGGAGACGGTTGTATTGTAATAAGTTTATTAAAAAAATTAAAAGTAATATGTACAATGCTGAACCCCTTCTGTGTTCACATAGGTAACGCAGGCGAGGAATCAGTAGATGATCCGTGTGTATTGTCTAGAAATTAAAATCAATTACTAGAAAACTACAATTAATTTACCACTGTCATTGGACGTCACTTGTGACTTATTCCGCCATTGGACACAACTGTCCAGCGACCTCTTCAGCCGCTTCGTAAGTGCTGACTCTAGGTCAGACAGTTTTACGGTGGAATCAGTATTCCACGCTCCGAAGACTTCTGCATGTTGTATAGTTGTAAGTAACGGCAGACCTACCAAGTATAACCTCATACAGTTTAGAACCGCAGAGGCTGTCTTTCGTCTTCCTGCCTTTGAAATTGACGTAAAGGCTAATCTCGTCGTCGAACACTGCGAAGAAAATTCGCTTGACGAATTCGTCAAGATTCTGCCCACCAAGGCATGTAAGGAAGGAGGTCTGAAGCAATAGGGTGTGATTAATATGGTAGCATACCAGCTCCTATCTGAAGCTCTTGTCCTGTAATTGGACATTCAAATGATGAAATTCGGCTGCATACCGTAAGTGGTGGTCGAGCGGGTTCCTCGGCAGCTGAGAAGCTACCGGTCCCGAGGTTTTAGCATGCTGTTGAATCATTGATTCTAACAGCCGCTGACGGCCGAGCAATTTGCGGACAGTCTCCACTAGTATGTCTAGTTTCATTGACTGTACACGCATGAACCACCCGTATCTGCTGTTGTCTCTGATGATGCGTTCTAGCAGGAATCCGAAACGTCAGGCTAATAAAGCTCTTGTCCCAGCAATCGCGTCTCCTTTTTCAAGTCTTGCTATCTGTTGTAGAGGCCGTGACGGACTTCTAAGCAATTTCTTCAATCTGCCTAAAAAGCGTTCAAAAGGGAAAGACGAAAATGAGTCCAGTGGGCAGTGACGTTCAACATCATCCGCAATGTGCATTAGGCTATGCACATTGTAAACCATGTGCTCGTCACCGTATAGACTCGAAAACTTTCTAGTAAACAGTAACAACTCAGAAGATGAAGATGCGATCACTGGAACAAGAAATTTATTTGCCTGACGTTTCGGATTCTCACTCGAATCCATCATCAGAGACATTCGCAGATAAAGGTGGTGGTGGCACCAGGCGTGCCCTTATATACAAATAACCCATACCCCACACCCATCCGTTCGTCCCCTCCATCACCCCGATATTGGTTTCCCTTAAGCTTTTTTTAAAAAAAATAGCTTTTTATTTAAAGACTTAGTAGTTGTAGTAATCTTTAAAAAGGCGACAAACAAACGGCGAAAAAGCTGTACAAAAAAAACAGGGGAATCAATGTAATATGTACAATTGGACCAATTTAGGGCTGCGTTGAAGGACCGGCCGGCGCAGGGGATGATTGGTTTCTTTCGTCGTCTGAAATCAAAGAAGACGATATTAACTGCGGTGTCAATTGAAACATTGAATGCCGGCAGAGTAGTGGTACAGAAACACGAATTAAGGGATAAAGCCTATAACCTCGTTTGTGCAATCCATCGTAAGCCTTCCTGAAGGCAGTTCGAAAAGCCTTCTCTAGTTGGTGCTGATCGCAGTTGCGCGCAGCGTTCCACACTGTGTAAGCATCTATGTTGTTGCATGACATATAAGGAAATTGAATGATGCGCCGACAACCAAATCGTACGGTTTGGATCCAAAGAACGCCCTCTTCCCCTGGGGCCGGCCGTAAAACGTTAGGTGTGGGGTAATCCTGTCATAAAACAGGATACCGGAAGTCCTATCCGTTAAGACGGAAAGAGTATCACCTCCGCTAGCCGTGAGGTAGGAAATCTAGTTAGAAATGTTGAATTACGGGCTATATTTATCGCTTGCTGTCTGAACTTCGTGTCCAGTATAGCGTTTGTAAAGTCATCCAGCTCCGCCAGGGTAGCCATATGTTGGAAGACAGGCCTGTGAGGTGCTTGAGTGGCCGCAGCAACACCCATGTCCCTGGCGGCTGTCGTAGAGGATATCTAATTTAACCTTCATGCCCTCTATGGTCTTTGCCGTATGGACCAAATTTTCCATGATCCAGCGCAGGCAGACTTTCAACGTATTCTTCCTGCGCCTCCTTGATGGCGAGGTGTGGCGTCGACGCTTTCGATGCCGTCTGCTAGTGCCTACGACGAACAGGTCAGTTGAGAAGACGAATACCTGCGTGTGGAGACCCGCCTAAGGGCATGGTCGCACTCGAGTCACTGCGATCGGTATCCGACTTCTGAAATGGAGGGATTGTTATTTAAGTCGCAGTCCTACTGAAGACGAGGAGAGTAGAGGGAAGGTCCACATCCACCCTTCTTTTCATACGGATTTTTGGCCGATCGTTTCGGCTGCTTCGCTCTACTTTCTTCCTCGCTGCTGGACATAGCAATCTGCAACCCAGCAGGACAATAGGGTTAGGAGAGTCAAGTCTTTGCAAAAACTCACTGTCTCTCTTCATCACTGTCCACGAAACGGTAGGTGAGGGACTGTTGGGTTGCAGATTTCGTGCATACACATGTGAACCGCACAGAGGGCATAAAATACCCTCTTCACGAAATCATCGGTGTTACGTCCACCGATGCATACCAGGATGTTCGTCTATGTTATAAAATCCGTTAAGCCTTGGTCATGCAGTCCACTATTGACCTCCAGGAAGTCGGACTTAGTACAAATGGGCCGCTTTACGGGGTTAGAAGGGAACGCGGCCTCCTGGGGCAGGCTCACCGGAACAGGTTTATTTAGATGCTGACGTTTCGAAGAACTTGGCTGGCTTTCCGTTGTCAAAGCGTAAAATGCACTTAATCGACTAGAAATCCCAAATGGCGTGTCACGTTGGTCGGCCTCGTGCTGATCGATTTTTCTCTCCTCTCGGGGGAGGTTGAGGGGCGTTTTTTGTCTGCGTGCTTTTTGAGTCACCACTCCGCCGGGGTGAGGTGATTGAACTAGTGTGGGATAGTCGGTCTGGCGGTTCTTGTTCTTCTTCACCAAATTGAGAGTTTGGGTCTGACCTTCGAGTAGCCAATTTGTGCTCTTGTAAGCGAGTTTGCAATTTCCGCCCGGTTTCTTCCACATAGTTGCAGTCGCCCTCATTGCAGTTTATTTTGTAGATATCTGCTGAGGTTTCGGCGGGTGGCAATCGGTCCTTAGCGTGCATCAGGCGGCGTTGAATTGTTGCATGGGGTCGGTGGGCTATGCCTACTCTGGCAGGTTGTAATAATCGAGAGACCGCCTCAGAGACCTCACCGCCTGATATTTGCATGGAAGAGACACGTAACTGGTCAGTTAGTTGCTTTTAAAGTCCTAAATGAACTTGTCTTCAATACAAACGTTAATAGTGAACGAGTGAAGGTAAGTTGTTGCAAACTGTATGTGCATATGTAAATAGTAAAACAAGGGTAGTTAAACAGGGAAATCCATGTCACATATCGAATCGGCGGTTCAACAAAGCGGATTGACCCACGTGCCACGGCCATCACGAAGTGCCTACAAAAAGCAATAAGCGATTAAAACAAGTGTGTGTCCTTCAGACCTGCTGGGTTGTTGCAATACAAGCTGTCGGACTGGGGTCGGAGGGATGGACTGTTGTTTGCCCTCGACCGAAAAATCCATCAGCTGGGCGGCAAACATCAGAGCCGACAGCGTTCCCTTTTGAACGAGAAAAGACTGGAAAGCTGGAGCCCGCGGATGCAACTGCTCCGGAAGACGAATTCAGCGGATTCGACTCTGTAAACTCTTAAAGTGAGTTGAGGGATAATTCACCGTAATGTTACCGTTAGTCTCTAAATTAACCCCAATGGCCACTGAGTTGACAGAAACAAAAAATTGGGTATTTGGCCGCATTTGCCAGAGAAGTAAATAAGACTTCGCAGTGGCCACTGCGCCGCTGGTCATCAAGTGAGTGGGTTAGAGGTGTAAATATTTTACAACAGGCTTGGTCGGAGAATACGCTGCATTTGATCACTCAACGCCTCGAAGAGTTCGCCCATTTGATCACCAGCCAAATACCTCAGTATTTGGAGGTGCAGACGACGCACCCTACGGTCTACGGTCAGGGGCGTTCTCCTTGCACTGCATCATGTGCTTATATCAACCATGTCGTAAAATAAAGTATTTTCTTCTTTTCTGGGACAGCCAGCCGTCGTCATTCATCAATAACCGGAAAATCTAATGAGTGAAAGTGTCAAATCCAAGTAACGGAAAATTGGTCACCTTTTCTCGCACCCGAACTGCAAGACACAAAGAAAAACCGCCCTTCCGTCCATTCCAACGGGAATCCCGCCCTCGGTCCTATCTGTTTGAAGCATTCCTGTTCTTCAACTTTTGTTACGTAGTTATAAGATCAGGGAAGGTTGAACAACGCCGCTTACGCTAGAATTCCGTTGTCCAATTCTCGACAGGATGTGGTCGGTTTACGTTAAAGAAGACTACAATGGGGATAGAAGATCTACGACCAGTTGGGCGTAAACTTTATCCTTCCTGTGAATTTTTGAGCATAAATGTTGTTGGGCGGGGGACCAATCAGTATAAAGCGAGTTTGTACGAATTTGCAACACCCATTTGCAAAGCATTATTCGGGTTCGCAGGATGTGTAGGTTGCGTGTTCGTATCACGTCGGGGTCACCAGTTTGTTGCAGTTACAGCTGATCTTACATCTCTGACCGCCACAGGTCTCAACGGCCACCGCGCCGTGCCTTTAGGCCCAACGAAACGAAGGACAGCACTACTGTATTGAGATATTTCCACGATGTCGCAGCTAGTTCATACTGTCTCATTTGAGACCAAGTCAATGTAATCTACTCGTAAGGTGGATCTGGTGTTACGTGGTCCATAGGCGCACTTGAAGGACTGCAGAACTCCAGCAGGCAGCAACATCAGTTTGGGAGGTGAGGTCGTCCCTCCCTAGTCGAACGTTAGACAGATTGTTGTGGACCAGAACTCACGTTTTGGCAGAGCGATTGTAGACCCTGATCATTATGGTTTTTGACGCTATACCGTCTGGGTCATTTATTCGTCGCAGGCACTCGCAATGGATGCAGTCGAACGCTGCCACAAAGTAAAGAGTGTGAACCACCGTCGCTTGATGGTGGCCTTGGCGTAGTTCAAGAATGCGCCATCGCGTAAATATCCGCCCAGTGCGTCCGCATCTAGCTCGAAACCCGGCCCAGTCCGGTCTCATCTGCTGGTCACGAACGCGTATAACGTCCGAGAATGATAATAACATTGAGGTTTACGTGGTTGCCGTCAGTATTTCAATGATGGTTCTTTAAAGGAAGAACTGCATCAGCTGAAGAGTCTGTGGAAGAGAAGGGTGGCGATGGGTTCGTTATCGCCATCGAGGAGGTTCTCCAGACGCATGTACCAGTGCTCCGCCCTGACCGAGTCGTCAGTAGTAAAGTCGCCACTCACATCGCGAGCATAGTCACTCAGTGCAGAGGCCCCAGAGCCAACTTTACGAACAAGCTGGTAGAAATTTCGGGTGTCACCGACATTTGAACCTGCTCATGGAGGTGGTCACTTCGATCATTTATAACCGACATTGTCATCAGTATGATATTACCGACAAAGACAAGGGAGACTGGAATGGTCATTTCTGGCTTATTAGCCGTCGTCAGCCAGTCATACCCAAGCCCGAAGTGTGGAACACCCGAGCCTCGAACTCGCGACCTGTTCGTTTAGAAGTCAACGCCTCTACTCACCGGGCCACGAGCCCGTTGCCCTGTCGGTTTTCGATCGGGAATATACAATCGGTGAGCGCCCCCTAACATTGTATATTCCCGATCGAAAACTGACAGGGCAACGGGCTCGTGGCCCGGTGGGTAGAGGCGTGGACTTCTAAACCAACAGGTCGCGAGTTCGAGGCTCGGGTGTTCCACACTTCGGGCTTGGGTATGGCTGGCTGACGACGGCTAATAAGCCAGAAATGGCCATTCCAGTCTCCCTTGTCTTTGTCGGTAATATCATTCTGCCTATATATCATGTGCCGCTGTGCGGCTGCTGGTTGGGCTCGAGAGAGAGCCCTTAAGGCACAACCGAACGAGTGAGTTCCGTATGAACGATCGGTGAGTGCCCCCTAACATTGTCATCAGTGGAGTGCGCAGAGGGAATTCTTGTTGTGGAATATAACCCGAGCTGTCTGAGAAGACAGCTGTAAAGTCCTGGATCTAATCGGATAAATGTGACGCCTCTGTTGAAGCCAAGAACACTTGGCTGCTTTGCCGTCCAAATGGGGCCTCAGTGATGATCGTTCGCCGCTGCTTTCCGCCTCAACCCCGATTACAAAACGAGACCGCATCTCTGTTCTCAAAGCCTCGGCCTTACTGGGTTGTCGTAAATTTTCTGCATTAAGGTACCCTTCATGTGACGATCTATGCGCGTACAAGAAGTGAACTTTTAGGTGTGTGCGAACGAAACCATCGTCCGACCCGTAAGCGTTTTCAGTTTTTACATGTCCACCCGCTTACCTTAACCGAACTAAAAAAGACTCGTATCGACTGTAATATTGTCATTTAGGCTGCTCATACGAATATCGTTCGAATCCCTGTCAACAGGTTTTTTCTACGATGTTCGAAGTACTTTTTGGTGCCAATTAGTTGATTCCGGTCAATGTTGCTTTTGCTGCATTTCCTGACGGACATATGTTTCCCTTTGATTATGTTCCCTTTTCTTGTTATTTAAGGCGAATTTGGTCAAATGGCTGGCTCGGAATACACAGCTCGGAGATGACCTCGCTACTAAGAGGGCCGATTTAGCTCTCTGTTATCAAGACGTCGGCGAGACGGTTCTCGCCTCCTGGCCTGATTCCTACAATTCCATTTGAGGTCCTCAAACCGACTTGAGCCGACGTAAAGCCGACTGATCTGATCACTTGCCGCGTTTCTGCCATGATGATTCCCGGAGCAGATGCCGCGCCAACCCGGAGTCCGGCCGCTCTCCCATGTCTGAGCGATGCTCATAGTTCTTTCTGCACGCTTTATTCATCACCGGAGACGTTGGATTCCCTTCGGAGGCTTGGCTGTCCTGCTAACGCTTATCTTTGTTGACTATTCGGTCCGCCAACAAACTTGGTGTCTTACTTAATTTTCTTTGTTTCAAAACATTCTCTTGCTAATTTCTGTACTGTTATGTCCGCATCCTCTGGCAGGCTCAATAATTTGATGGACCCATTATTAGAGATAAGTACCAATACGGGTAGTTCATGTACAAGGGGCTTTAGTACTTGTAGGATGTAGTTGTATGCCACTACGGCTCCCCCCTCCCACTTATCAGAGATTGCTACACTTGGTGTGATAATTGTTCGATGACCAACATTCAAGTCGTTTTAACTTCATCACGGGTGTTGGATGTTGGTGTGATGGTTGCTCGCCCACCTGACCCACCGATCTTGGCGTTGGGAATAATGTTCGCATTTGCGCTCCCCCTGTGGCTAATTACTCCGCCTAGGCAAAGTCTTCGCACCGAATATAGAAGGTGGAGGTTATTGCACTTGTTAATAGACCGGGGGCCAGTGAGCCATGACACCTCCAGTTCACGGCTCACTCGATTGTTACCTCCAGCGAGAATTTCGTCCTTGTCAAATTTGAATGTGTGGCCGGGTCTCGTCGAATATGCCGCAGCTTTGGAGCTGGCGCCATTTCTCCCCACTGCTGCTGCGTGTTCGGTCATTCGTGCTCGGAGTGGTCTTCTGGTTTCTTCGACGTACTTGCTTCGTCCATGCCTGCACCAGATCTCATAAACGACTCCAGATGTTTCTTGCTGTGACAGTGTGTCTCCTCGTCTCACTATCTGACGCCTGATGACTACCTTTGGTCTTCGTGCAATTTCAGCCCCCAACTGGCGCGAGAAGGCGCCCGACGTCGTTCGAAACGTTCTTGGCGTACGAAGCGCTCGCCAAAATTTGAGGTTCGCGCGGCTTGGCCTTTCGTCTCCACTGCGTATGCACCGGTCGACGACAGTGCGCGGGTAGCCATTGGCGCTGAGCACCCGTCGAAGGTATTGTAATTCGGTAATCTTGTCTTCCAGCTCACTTCAGTGCGTTCCCAACACGCCGTCAGAGCGTTCTTACACAACTGCGTTTGTGGCGGATTGGGTGGTTGCTGCTGAAGTTCAGTTCTTGCGTAGTATTTGAAGCTTTCCTGAACACTTGACTTTCTTGGCCACCAGAATCTTTGCGGCATTCGACGATATCCAGGAAAGCCAGTTGGTTGTTTTCTTCCTTTATCGTAAATTTTATGTTCGGGAAGACAGCGTTGAGACGTTTTTCCAATAATTGAATCCGGTCGATAACTACAGTGTCCTCATTGCGGTCGGCATACCCTCCGGATTTCCTCGGCCTTGCGAGTCATCTAAGCGTCCAGCACCCTCGCAGTCGTTGCTGCACGAGGCGGTAATGGCACCCTGTAGCACCTAAGTAGGAAGAATGTGTACTAATTGGGCTACTTAATCCCATGTTGTGAGAAGAAAACAGGATTCACCTATCGCAAACGAATGCCTGGATTGTCCTCAGGCGGCAGTGGTCGCTGGCGAAGCCAGGGCTAGCGTTAAATGCGTGCAGTCGTGCCCGGGAGTCCCCTAGGCAGTGGTGGCAGATGCTGTTGTGGGGTAATCTGAAGTGGTGTCCAGTTTGGTGTTGGATTTTTCAGGAGGTGGTGTTCAAGTGGCGTTAAGCACCCGTCTCGAAAAATCTCACTAGTCATGTGGGCGTATTCAGGTTCTATTACGGAACAAAAACTGGAAACACTACATTTAAATGGAGAAGCCCCGGTTGCGGAAATAAGAGTCTCAATCGCCTAACATTTCGGTTTATCTCTCGAATCCGACATTAGAAGCAACAACAGGCAGGGGTACTGGTTGTTAGGGGGGCAGGTTATTTATGGGACGCGTAGGTGCCGGCTACTTATGCAGCAGCCTGGAGCAAGTGCTGAGCGCTAGGTCGTGCGTGGCACGTGTAGATGAACTACCCAGATTTGTCGGCCACCATTGGTGTGTCCACTTGTAGTAACTTTCACCTTAATAAGAAGACGGAGGCACGATCACTTGGACAAGAACTTTATTCGTCTGACGTTTCGAATTCCTGTAGAACCCATCATCGGAGACCAAAGTAGATACGGGTGGTTTCTGCACAAGGGCTGTAGTATTAAGAGGATGCAATTGCCATGCTACCGCATACCTATAAATATTCACGCCCCCTCCCCCCCCCCCTTAACCGGGGATCGTTGCACTGTTTGATGGCCGACATTTGCGTCGGTAATCGCTGAAATTTCATCACGTGCATTAGATGTTGGTGTGATGATTGCTCAAACATCTGACCCATCGACCCTGGCGTTGGGAATATTGTTCACCTGTGCACTCCCCGCGTGGCTACTTACTCCGCCTAGGCGAAATCTCAGCACCGAGTATGGAGTGGAAATTTCGTTGCACTTGTTAATGGACTGGAGACCAGTGAACCATTGCTCAAGCAGCTCGCGGCTCACGCGATTGTCACATCCAACGAGAATTTTAGCCTCGTTGAATTTGAATGTGTGGCCGGATCTCATCGGATGAGTCCCAACTTAAGAACTGGCGTGCTTTCTCAGCAGTGCTGCAGTGTGTTCGGCCATTCGCGTTCTGAGCTGTCTTCCGGATTCTCCGACGTAGTTGCTCTGTCCGCAACTGCACCAGATCCGATAAACGACTCCAGACGTTCCTTGCCATGGCAGCGGGTCTTTCGGTTTCATTATTTGACGCCTAATCGTTGACTCCGTTCTGTGTGCAATTTCCACCCCCAACTGGTACGAGAAGGTGGCCGACAACTTTCGAAACGTCCTTGACATACGAAAGCGCTCGTCAAAATTTTGCGTCCGTCCAGTTTGGCCTGTCGTCCCTTTTGCGTAAGCACTGGTTACGAAGTCGAGCGGGCAGCCATTGCCGTTGAGCACCCGTCGAAGGTATTGTAGTTCAGTTATCTTGTCTTCCAGCTCACTTCAGTGCGTTACCAACACGCCGTCAGAGCGTTCTTACACAACTGCGTTTGTGGCGGATTGGGTGGTTGCTGCTGAAGTTCAGTTCTTGCGTAGTATTTGAAGCTTTCCTGAACACTTGACTTTCTTGGCCACCAGAATCTTTGCGGCATTCGACGACATCCAGGAAGGCCAGTTGGTTGCATTCTTCGTACATCGTAAATTGTATGCCCGAGAAGACAGCGTTGAGACGTTTTTCCAATGTTAGTAATTAAACCCGGTCGATAACTACAGTGTCCTCATTGCGCTCGACATACCCTCCGGATTTCTTCGGCCTTGCGAGACATCTAGGCGTCTAGCACCCCCCGTAGTCGTTGCTGCACGAGGCGGTAATGGCAGCGCCTAGGTAGTAGGAATGTGTACTAATGGCGCTACAAGCATCAGCCCAAATCCCATGTTGTAGAAAAAGACAGGAGTCACCAGACTGAGGGGTTTATAGCGTAGGACAACCTGGGTTGTCCTCAGGCGTCAGTGGCCGCTGGCGAAGCCAGGACTGGTGCTGACTGCGTGCAGTCGCGCCCAGCATTCCCCGAGGCAGTGGTGGCAGCCTCTTCTGTAGGATTGTCGAGCAATCTGAAGTGGTGTCCAGTTTTGTATGTGGAGGTGGTGTTCAAGTTGCTTGCGTCGCATCCGCAGGAGTTTGGGAGCTCAAGTGACGCATGGAGGACGTCCAATACAGTGGATTGAATGGTACTCCACAGTCATCACCGAATCTCTACGGCGAGGCATTGACCAATCACTCAAAACTGACCATTATGGCTGCCCACAACAGTCCGAATGTCAATTTTGGGTTCTTGCAGTCTGTGCATTTTGGCGAACAGGTTGCAGATGTCTGCGTCACCGTTGAATGGACCCTGATGACGAAGTGCGCGTCCGTGGACGTCCAGGATAGCGTATTCCACAGTCGTCACCGAAGCTCTACGGTGGCATTGAGATCTGGGCCGGAAGTTCTTCCAGGCGCTGGATTTGACCAACAACGCTAGTTATCTCGTAATCTAGCAGACTTTCAAGCCGCGTGAGATTTTTCATACTACCGTGGGATTAAGGTTCACCGAGTCGATCTCCCTCCCCGTATACCAGTTGACTGTCCAAACCTATCGGAAATCTGATGCTGGAATTAAACGTATTGGGGCTGGCTGAGCTACGCGAGCCAGTTTACATCTGTCGCACACGACCTGGTACCAATGTCATGCACCTGGATACAGTAAGAAACATTTTTCCCGACAATTCGACCGTCGTTGCCGACGTTATCCATCAAGTGCTTCACAGCAAGGTGGGACAGTGGCGATGACTTGTGCGTGATCTAGTTTATACTGAATGTGGCCTTGCACAGCTCCTACCTCACTCTCTCCTCCCCCATCTGGATCCGGTTCCAAGACAAAGTTAAGATGACCGGAGGCGGGGGGGGCAGGTGGATGGCACGGTCGAGCCCGTACCTTGGCGTTCCATTCCGTTTTTTCCCACTTGCGTGGAAAATGCATGTTTTTAGCATCTGGTGGGTGGTTTGGAGCTGCTTAGTCGGTGCTCTCTGATGAGGCCTGGGCTGCGGTGTTTTACCACAGATTTTCATGGATGGGCATATGGCCCAACGAACCATGTGGTGACTGAGTGTCCGTGGTCAGTGTGTACAGGTGATGCGGGTGCGACGGGGACAGATTGGGATCGAGTCCGCAGTGTTGGTGCAGGGAGTTTGCCCACCACTGGCGATCTTGGACGTGGGAGGGGAGGAGGGGCGCCGCGTTGCCGGTCCACTA